TTGAAGCAAATTATCTTTATCTATTTATTGTTAAACTTTCACTACAAGATCTCTGTTTCTGTTTCTGTTTCAGCAATTAAAACGTCACTATATCATAGCATTTATTTTAGTTGAGATGTCAAGATATATATACATATATATTTTGGAAAAACAAATGTTTTCATTTTTCAAAAAACACTTTTCAAAAAATTCTACTTTCTTATTTTCCGTGTTTTTTTGTTTTTACTGAATTTTTTTAATATTTTAAGCAATTTTTTTACTTTTTAGACACACCTAACATAAATATATCTAAAAAGTAAAAAAATTGTAAAAAAAAAAAATTAAAAATTCACTAAATACCAAAAATACAAAAAAAAATACAAGAATTCAGTACATTTTTTGTATTTTTATGTATTTATTAATTTTTTAAAATATTTTTTCACAATTTTTTTACTTTTTAGATACATCTAAGTAAGGTGCATCTAAAAAAGTAAAAAAAAATGTTTAAAATTTTAAAAATATTCACTAAAAACAAAAAAAAAAAACATAAAAACCAAGAAACTCAGTTTTCAAAAAACTTAATCCAGAAAACTCAAACCAAACACACTGATGTTTTTATAAATACCATAACAACAACAAATCTATCGGTTGTTGGCTCAGGTCCAATGTGAGCTCCTGTTGAAAATGAAGACAGACAAACAAAATTAATTTTTCCACTTGCCAGAGACAGAGACAGAGAGACAGAAAATATCATGCCTGGATAACTACTTTTCAGTAAATGTTTAATGAAATGTTGTTTTCCCCGTGGAGTATTGACCCAGCAGCATAACCATAGGTTTCACATCAAAATCACTGTTTGTCTGCCAAAAACAACACACCAAAAGCAAGTACTAAACAATGTATACATATTTATATGGAAACAGCCATAAAACTGTTTATAAGTTTGTGAAAATACAAAGAAAAAGAAACTGAATCACAAGCATTCTAGCATTTCATTCAGGTAATTATGGCCATATGCGTTTATCACTCACCAATAAAGGGGACTCAAAATCGTTGAACCGATATGTCACTTCCAATGGCCTCAATTTCTGTATGTACAACTTCTTCAAGCCATCAACAATTGATGTAACAGAGGATATAGGCACCTGATAAGATAATGAATGACAGAAAGAAAGCACCATTCTCAGAACTAAGGCATAAGAGAGGAAGTCAAATTAAACAATTATATATAACATTTAGGATCCCATAATAACCAAGGTAAGAATGAAAAGGTGACAAAAATTCTCAGATGTATAACTAAATCCAGTCACTTGTTAACTAAATTTGCGACATGTACCTTCTTCGTGGATTTTGTAGAAGTAAACCAATTAGCTGATGAAGATTGCGGCAAACTACCTGCATCATTGTTGATTAGTGCGCTTAAAAGAAAAATGGCATTTCTATAGTTAAAGAGAAAAAACTTTTTACCATTCAGTTCAAGGTCACTTGTTTTAGATGCACACTTTTTCTTCTTCTGAATATTATCAATTAGCAAGTTAAGACTTCCATAAAATAATTTAGAAAACAATTTAACAAAAACATTAGTATACTTACAGCCAGTATTGCATCCAAACCTTCCATGACAGGAGGCTTTAGATTTTCCAAGTCAACTGCCAGAGGCTACAATATTTTACCCAAACTATGATCATCATTTATCCACAGTTCAGGTTGTCATCATGAACTTGCAGTCAAACCACCCCAAGCATCCAACAGGCTACGACAATAACTGCACAACGTACACTACTCACCTTCGCCATTTAAGATATCATTAGTTGGTGCATGTCCACCTTGTGCCAAAGAAACTAGATGCAATTTACAAGTAAAAAGTTGTCAATTTGCAAAAGATAAGTTGACTTTACATCCATTAAAGATTTGGAAAATTAAAAAAAAAAAAAAATGACAAAAATGAATTTGAACCTGCATTGCAGCAATGAACTCTGCAAAACCAAGAAAACCTTGTCGTTTGGAATCTGCAATTGCCCACACCTTGTGAAAAATTAAAATTAAAAAAAAAAGAAAAAGAAGATGAAGGTTTGTCATTATGAAGTAGACATCAAATAAAAAATAAATGAAAACAAAATTGGGAAACACTTAAAAACAGCAGGCACCAAACTCTAATTACAAATGCAAAAATCCATACAAGTGTATTTGTGTGCATGTCTGGAAACATATATGCATACATGAATATTGACTTGTGTCCTGTTCCTTAGTGATTTATTTCTTTCAGGAAAATAAAGATGTAGATGGCACAGGACACTCCCATTTTAACAACTCACCCCCACTCCCCTTAGAGGAAGGGAGAAAAAAGGGGTGTAAGAATAAAAAAGGTTATACCCCTGTGGCTTTATTTGGAATAAGTTGTCCCGGTTAAACCATATAATTTAAAATAATAAAAAACTTGCCACATTTGGTTCATAACATTGAAAAGCTCTAGCTCTAGCAGGACCAAAGTTTAGCAAATTCAACATCAATAGAGGAGAGCAAATTTGTTCACACTAAGTAAGCAATACACACTTTCCTATTGGTTTCTCAATGAGGTGGTCCCACCTCCAACACCAACACCAACCAATGAGTATCAAGTGTAATGTTCAAATTTAGTGTGTAAACAAATTTACACTCTCAATTGTGCGGACACAAAATCTGTAGACATGAAAAGGGGAATAAAGTAGGTTGCTTAGCGCAATGGTAAAAGCTCGAGCTGCCAATGATGAGAACACAAGTAATGAACCAACGCAACCCTTTAGATTAAGTCTGTCTGACCACCTCTCAACATCTTTGATTGAGGGGATCAACATGACCTTTTAGGAAAACGGTAAGGAAGACGGGTGCATAGGTCTACCACATTAACTTGCGCAAAACTCATAGGTCCATGGAAGTAAATTTTAAACAATTATCTACACAAATAAGCAATAAAACGCCATTGTTTTCCAAAAATGAAATTAGAAAAGCAAAACACAATCAAACGAGCCATACATAATAACACTTTTCCTTGTTTTATTTTGAAGAAACATAACAGAATTAAATGATAAAATTAGAACTTCTTAATTCACTGTTTTTCCCTCCATTTTCTCAGCAAACAAACAGGGAACAACAATCAATGGAAAATCAAGTATAAAGAGCGAGAGAGAGAGAGAGAGAGAGACCTGCTTGAGATCTTGTCGAGGCAAATTCAACATAGCAAAGAACTTGGTGGCGTCGTTTCCCGTAATGCGCCCATCGCCGTCTGAATTAAATGTTCAATTTGTGAAGAAAAGGATAAGAATTCACCCAAACATATATAGATATGGAGACAAACCTTTGTCCACGTAATTGAATCATTGTTGATAGATGTTCTGTTGGAGCACTTTGGAGAGGAATGAATCTCCATTCCTGATTCGTTTCAGGTTTTTTTCTTTTATAAAAATTTCGAATATATTGGAGATTGTTTTCTCTCTCTCCCTCGCGTTTTTTGTTTTTCGTTTTGTTTCGCCCTTTTGAGAGAGAGAGAGAGAGAGAGAGGGCATACAGTCGTCGTCACTCGCTGAGTGAGTGAGAGGCGCGATTGAGACTGGCTGCTCCTCACCATCATCACTCGCTGCTCGTCGTCGCTCGCTGCTAGCCGTCGTCGTTCACTGTCGTCACTCGCTGCTAGCCGTCGTCGTCATTCACCATTGTTGAATTTTGGCTGAAGGGTTTTGGAGATTTTGCTTCAGAAAGGTTTTGGGGATTTTGGTTCAGAAAGGTTTTAGGGATTTTGGGGAAAACTTGATCGTGAATGGGCTAAAATGAGCATGATAGAAAAATTTTCATTACTTTTTGCGACGGTATATTTAAACTGTCACAAATGATAAATCCTAACAGATAAAACGACGCCATTTTAACAAGAGTTAGTTTGCGAAGGACTTTTGCCATCACGAATTGTCCACTATTTGCGACAGTAAATGTTTCCCATCTCAAAAAAAAAAATTTGCGACGGTACACCAGGCGTCGCAAATGTTTCTGTATTTTTCTTGTATATTCATTAGCGATGGGGTCACCACCGTCGCAAAAGGCCATTTTTGGCGACAGTTTGAAAACATCGTCGCAAAAAGCTCCGTGTTATTTGGGCTGCTTTCTTGTAGTGTAGGCATGCCAATGCGGCCACAGAACCTCCAGAAGAAAGAGCTATGTAATTTTTTTTGTTTTGTTTTATTTTGTCTTGTCTTGTCTTGTCTTGTCTTATCTTCTATTAAATGTTTAAGTTTCCCACTTAATTTAACTAAGTGAATAATAGTTAGAAAAAATTTTGTTAATTTTTTTGGTTTATGCCTGCAGTTACACAAATCTTGGCTATCTTTGTTAAGATGTACAACAAAACATGTGACGAGAATGAGCAGCAGGTAGATGCTGAAAAGAAGAAATTAGAAAAGGAAGCCATGAAAGAGCTCGCATCAGCCCAATCTGCGAAAGATCGCTCAAAACCTAATTTCCGAATTCAGAAACATGCTCCTTGATCAGTCTGTACTAAAGCAGCAGGAAGCCTTACTGGCGGTGATGTGGAGGATAATATGTCGGTTGCATCTCCCCCGATATTCATAATCACGAATTGTGCCAGTTATTCCATGTTACATGTGGTGTCGCTGCGGCTGACACTGCCTTCACTGCTACTAAAATTTGTTTATGAAAATATGTGTATCCTCCGATTTGTATATTTACATGCTTGGTCCATCGGCATTTTCAGGGCCAGTTAGCAGCTAGCTTCAAATATGCCTTCCCATCTCCATTTTATCAATTTTTGTGGAACTATCTAATATGCTGAGGACACTCCAAATGTGAAACAGAATGCCCAAATTGTCTACATTCAAGTTTCAAAATATACATGACAAGTTCAGCAACAAGTGGTTATATCCATGGAAAAGAAATCTCTCTCTCTCTCTCTCTTTCTCTCTCTCTCTCTATAAATATATATATATATATATGTGTGTGTGTGTGTGTGTGTATTTATACTAGAAAGGTGGCACTTTTGTGTGTGGGCTTCACCAAATTTTGTTGGAGAATTATCTTAAAATGTGTGTTTCATTAAGTATAAGAAATGTTAGATAAGAAAAAATATTATAGCCTCTTAAAGTCTGGTGGACGGAAGTTATATTCTAACTTGATTTAAAATGTAAGAGTTTGATTGTCATTAAATAAGAGTGAAGGGATTAAAGTAAATTTATTTATAAAACTAGAAAAAAAAATTAGAAACTGATTGAATTTAAGATATAGAGTGTAGATTTAATCTTCTTGTTGTGGGATCACTCCATGAATGCATTTTGGTCTTAGAGTTTAAATTCTAGATAATTTTGTTTTGGGTATGTAGAGCTACTATTTCGTGAGAATGTAAGAGTGCTAAATGTAATGTAGACTACACTGAATTCTAATGACTAGAATAAAATTTAGTCATTTGCAATTGTAGCCATTTGCAAACGTCACTTGCGTTCTATTCGGATATTGAATTTTTAGGATGATTTGTAGAGTAAAAAAAGAGAAGGAACGAGATTTGTGAAACAAATTTAACTTTCGTTTCTTTTACTTTTTCTTTTTTTCCCAAATTTAAGATTAAAACAATACCATGCCCTAAGATTAAGAATTTTTTACAATCTAACAAACAAATTTGAATCATATTATACAATCAATTAAGTAAACAACACGCAGTACATAAAATTCATACAAACTTGTAACAAGCATACAAGATACAAACCTCAAATTGTCTTTTAAATGTAGACTATAGAATTCCACATGCAGCTAAGGATTTAAGATTGGCAATTAGGGCAATTAGTAATTGGCTGAATCGACATTGTGACTTTATTCCTCCCTTGTGATATCGAATTGCAAATGCAATTTTGCAAGTCCTCATCGCAAGCTATTAAAATCCAGTCATTGTCCTCATCTTGATGCTTGACACGGTAGGTTCCACCCTGTAGTTTCAGCCTCTTTGCCACTTGCTGTTGAAACTCTACCATTCCCGACGACACAGGGAGCTGAAATTTAATAAAATCATCTCCATATTTTGCCTTTATGGTCACAATACTTTCGTCTTGCACTGTTGTAAAATGTGGCTTTGTGCAAGAAGCAGTAACCATGTCTTGCATATGAGGTGGATCAGAAATTGGAGGCTGACTAGATCCTAGGATTTGTTCCTGAACAACACCTTGGACAAGTTTATTGGAAAACAATTGGTTATCCTTACTTCTCTTATAAGGTGACCACCAGGTGATATTATATTCCCTGCAAGCACGCTTCACTATAGATCGGCTAACTGCAAAACGAAAAATCCAAATTCTAGATAAGAAAATATACTTTGTTTACTGCTACCAAAAGTATATGAATTTTCCACAGGATCCAGCTAGGAACGGGTATCCTAAATATGTAAGCTTACCGCCAAGGCTTTCTGCAGCATCTTCAAGTTTCATTCCAAAACGTTGCTGGAGATCCTCCAAGCTAATTGGAATTCCAACTTTTCTTTGTAGCCCCTGGGATGAGTTAATTATGCAATTTGCTGTACAGAAGTAACAACGCTATTGTTATCTTCTGTGTTACTAGCAAAATTGTTTCCAATGTCTATAGCATCCACTTTCGGTAATTGTTGATCGGATAAATCTAGAAACACCATCTCTTCTCCATTCTCCATTCTATTTGGAGATCTTGCAATTTGGGGTTTTTTAAAAGAATCAAGTTTTCCGTTCTTCTCCAAGCTAATTGGAATTCTAGCTTTTCTTTGTAGCCTCTGGGACGAGTTAATTATGAGTTTTTGCTGTGAGGAAGTAAAAACAATGTTGTTTTCTTCTGTGTTACTAACAATATTGTTTCCTGTGTCTATAGCATCCACTTCGGGTAATTGTTGATAGGATAAATCTAGAAACACCGTCTCTTCTCCATTCTCCATCTTATTTGGAGATCTTGCAGTTTGGGGTATTTGATAACAATAAAGTTTACCATCCTCTGAAAAATCAAGAACTTCAATAGATAACTCTTCTCCTAGTTCTTCGCCAGAAGCGACCTTAAAACTTTTACAATGCTGCTTCATTGTTGTCAATAACGGAACCAAAGCAATCCTTGGATCCCTACCTTCAGTGTAGTTTGGGGGCAAAAAGAATTCTAGCACGTAAACATTGTCTTCAATATAACTACTCCGCAAGAAAATTGCAAAAGAACCAGTAAGTCCAACTTTGAGTGCGTAGTGTGCGAAAGGGTACTCAGTTATGCTAAATTGAGTAATATCTTTGCAGAATACCAAATTTTGGGACAAAATTGCTCTCCCAACAACCCCCTGCCCTTTTCGTAGGTGCTGTAAAGCACATGCAGCTAAAAAATCACCCATACGTCCCTCTCTATGACAGGTTCTATATTTTCTGAACACTGCATTGCAAAGCCTACACAAGGACCAAGTCTGAGCCAAAGGTAGATAATGAGTGCTATACACCACGTCTAGCATTTTCCTGATTTCTTCAGGAGTTTCATCCTTGACCTGATAATAATTCACAAATACATATTTGTTAGCCCAGAGTTGTTACAAAAGCTAATGAACAAAACAATACAAGATTTAACATTTGAATTACAGTTTGCTACTTACTTTCTCATGATACAAATGTTCACATTTTGATCTTGTCAAACCTTGAATCTGCAAGGGATTGAAATGAGATTTAAACTGAAAGATATTTGCAAAAATAAAATAGTATCACTTATAAGTTAACTTTTATGACTATAGCTTTTTACATTATTAGCTAAAAGTAATTAAAATAAATTATAAATTTATTTGGTACAACTTTTGATAATTTGTGCAAAAAAAATTGAATCTGTTTGATTAAATAAACTGTCACATAACTTTTTTTTCTAATAATTAAGACAAAAGAAATGAGACTCTTCTAGCCAGACTTATTGAAGGGTTTCAGTTAAAAAGAGCTATAAATTATGAATAATTTTTTTTCCTTTTTTGGGGTCAAATAAACTGAATAAATCAAATAAGTTATAATTTAAAATTACAATTAAACATTATTAGTCAACCTTTTTTAAGTAAATAAGCTGATTTATAAATAATAATACCAAAACATTGTATATACAGTAAATGAAAAAATCAGCACAGTTGAGGCTATTAACCCGACCAACTTAGGTTGCACCAAGGTATTGTATAATTGTCCGAGATCAGCTTCGTTGTTTTGGACAGGTGCACCTTACCCTAGTATGGAGTATTTCAATTGGTCCAACACTTTGAGCAGAAATCTGTATTGCCTAGTAAATGGGGCTACTATAAACAATTAGGTAAACTCTACTCACCTCCCTTGAGAGGTGAAAAAATAAAATAGTAATTCTTATATTTTTGTTATAATTACATCAATTTCCCTTACATTAATGATAACGTTAACTGAGCTAACAGTAAGACATTTTTTGTTGGCACTTGTGCATCATAATGAAGTTATCAATTTTCCACACGAGAGATCAGTATAATTTACCCAAATGATTAATGTCAATGATATGATATCAGAATAAAAAGCACAATACGTGCATAAGAATTGTTGACGAACTCCATGTTAGATGATTTACACAATGAAATTAATGAATGGGTAAGATTAATGAACCATTAAAAAGATTGGCCAGTAAAATGGAACCAACTAGTAAAATAATTTGAGGATTGGCCAGTAAAATGGAACCGACTAGTAAAATAATTTGAGCTCTATCAACAAAAGAAATAAGAAAAAGAAAAAGGAACCATAAACCATCATTGAAAATTAAAATTAACAATCATTGGATAGGCATAATAAATAATAAGAAAAAAGTAAAGAAGAGAACGTAAAAATGGGATTGATTATTCCAATTAGGGAGTTAGGGGACAAACCTCGAAATAAAGGAAACTCCCCAAATATACATTTATTATATCAGTTGTCGACACCATCTCAAATACACCAATGCAGCGTTGCCTCAAAGGGTCAAACAATGGTACAGCCAGAGATTGCTTAATATTGCAAACGATAGCACGATCGCGCTGTGGATACTCTTTGCAGGAGTAATACTGCACATTTGGAGTAGACTCCCACTGCTGATGCCGGAACACACGGCCATGCAGGCCAAGATATTCATCACTCACTCGATCCACATCAAATTCATAATCCAAAGATATCAACCTATACTGACAAAGTCCTTCATCAATCTTGCTAAAACCAAAAGGTTGGTGTCGAGTGGTAAGTAAACGCTTGCCCCCAATTTTTATGACTTTCCAAAACTGTATAAGAAATTGGGTACAGTGCCAACAAAATACTATATCTTTAAAGTAGGATTTTATCTTCTCCATAAACTCTGAAATAGGAGGAGCAATCAGGGTTCCATTGATTATCTCTGTACGATTTTGCAAATTTCGGAGCCCCAAAAAAAAATCTTAATATATAAAAAAATTGTTAACATACTGTTTGCACCATAAATATTTTTCTGTCTATTAATCTTATTGATTTTGGCTTATCGATTGTGGCTAAATATAATTTTATTGATTGTGTCCTGTCAATTGTGACATGTCAATCATGGCCAAATCTAATCTCATTGATTGTGGCTAATTGATTTTGGTCTGTCGATTCAGACTATAAATCATCTTTAAAGACCTACTATGACCACATTATTATTATTCTTATTATTTGTTTTGTTATGGTTTACAAGTGATGAAATGGGCTTAGAAAATGGGAGCAAGTTGGCAGCGTGGGGCAGTTTGTTGCACTTTGTAAGGAATGTGGCTTGATTTTGTTTCATGAAGTGGCCAAACTGCCTCCAGCAATTATACTTCGAATAGGAAATTGTCAATTGTTACTCTACAAATAGTCTGAATACAGATTGGAGAAGGGATGAACAAATCGTCAAACTTATCATAGTTTTTTTTTCTTTATCTTTAGGAGTAGTCTACCTTAATTCTTAGTAGTAGACTATCTTAACTTAGAGTAGTTTTCTCTGTAATTTGTGACTTGTAATTCTTGTAAACTTAGATAATTTCATCTAGAGTTGTCTTTGTTTATTTGGATACTTCACTCTTTCGATTGTTCCAAAGAAGTCCATGTACTTTCAAAGCATTTAGAACCTTTACACAACCGTTTGATTGTCTGTTTGGTTGTTTGGTTAAAATTGTTGTTAAGTCTCCATCGATCAAGACTTAGCATAATTTTTTACTAACAATTTTTGGCACGTCCAGTGGGACATCTTCCTAATTTGGAATGATGACAAGAATTCGAAGGCAAGATGAAGTACAAGAAGATCTATCTCGTAAAACACAATCACATGATGTTCCAATAAGTGAATTTCCATGGAATGACGTGTTGAGAAAAATAGATGAAATTATTTGGTTTTGTGAAGATGAAAAGTGTTGGCTTGAGAATGAAATTTTATATTTACAAGAAAAAATTGATTATCTTGATTGGCAAAATTTCAAACAATGGCGCCATTGTCATATTATTTGAGGTTGGAAACACGAAATCATTTTGATAAAGTGATTGGTCAACTTGATAATCAAATTGACTAATTTGAGATCGAAATTCATCAATGGAGGGAAATATTAAAAATTCTTACATAAGTCAAAATTTGTGGCTTTTCAATTGTTCTTTCCACGCCTTCAAAGGTTGTGAATGATGAAAAAGTTAATTCATCAATTGTAACGGGTGAAAAAACAAAAGGCCATGAGAATAAAAATTCCATGGCAGAGGGGCAAATTTTACAAGGAAGAAATATTTTTTGGGTTTTCAAAAAATGTTTACAGCCCATTAATGTGTGAAAGAAAAAATTAGCCTTTTGTTGCAACTCTTAGTCTAGAGAGTGATGTAAATAATTTGGTTAAAAAGTGTGATCTTAAACCAAATATGACCAAAAATGATGAACAACCATATGTTCATGAATTTAAAAATTTTGACATTGTTCAAGATGTCAACATGTATGAATTTTTAAGGTCATTTATGATTTTTGTTATTCAAAATCTTTTTTGGATTTGTGGATCTTGATTGGCTATTTTCTAACTGTTAGAAAATAAAACAAGTTGGAATTCCAAATGTTTGCTTTAATGTTTAGAGTGTCTTACCAATGCCAACATTGGAAGATTATTTTGCTCCAAATAATAGGCCAACTCATGGTTTCACACTTGGTTTAGGCATTGCTCTGTGGATTAAGTAAATGCACTGTCGATTGAAGCAATTTATTACCAATTTAGAAACTCAGTCATATATGGCCTACATTGGACTACATTTGTGGAGGATACACAATACATTTATAATATGTTAGAAATGCTATGTATTACCCTTTTGTTTTGTTTTGTGTCACCTATTTGATATTTTCCTTATATTTTAACACTGACAATAGGAGTTGAGATTTTCTCAGAGATAAAACTGACGAACATAGAATTAAATTTTTTAATAAAAAAAGAAAATTAATAATTGGAGTGAAAGTCAACCAGTAAATAATAGGAACATATGATATGAGATGAGAGAGAAACTAACCGGACAAGCAAAGCGGAGGAGGAGGAAGTTCGCAAGGGTCGTCTTCTCCACTCCAAAAAACCCAGCCATACTTGCTCTTCCCGCGCTCACAGAGCAATTGGTGGTTCTTCACATACGATTTGAAATCGTGAGAAAAGTCACTGATCATATTATCAATCTCGGCCATCGCCCCTCGATCTCTCGATCTCGATCTCTCTCTGTGTACTTCCCAACACCAGCGGCCAAAGTGTTCCTCTATATGCCTGGTTGTGACCTACTATATTAAAGGGAAATTCTATTCCGGGGCTTGTTTGGTTTGTATTTGAGAATCATGTTTTAAGAAAAAAAATATGAAAATTTGTTTGGTTTGATTTTTTTTCAAAAGATGTTTTGAAAAATTATTTTGAGAAAGAGTTTTGGAAAAAGTGATTGATTTGATGGGTATGAGAGAGAGATTTGTTTGAAAAACTTGTAAACCAAACAAGTTTTGGAAAAAAAAATTGGGAAATTTTGTTTGGTTTGATTACTTTTGAAAACTTATTTGTAGAGAATTTTTTTCAAATTTTTTTGAGAAACACAAACCAAACAAGGCCTGTTTTCGTTGTAACCTACTATATTATTAATTATTAGTTATGATATATTATTTATAACATTATTTTAAGACTTATTATATTTTTAATTTTTAGTTATGATATATTATGATTTTATTTATAATATTATTTTATTTATTATTGCAGAGTTATTTAGTTATACTTAATGCAGTATTTGTTTATAATTCAAATTTTTTTTTTTTAATTATGATCTCCTATTCCTATAGTATTGAGTTATGATATTTGTAATAATTAAACTCACAAATAACTTAACTTGCCTATGATACCATAGTATTACCTATTTTTTTATAAGGAGGAGGATCCCCTCCAATTCAAAAACTAGACTGGAGAGTATTGTTTGGGCCCATGGGGCTGGGTCATGTTTCAATGATCGAAATCGTCATTTTATCGAGCACTTTGTGTATTTTATTTTTAAAAAATTGTTATAAACAAAATATATTATTTATTTTTAAACAAAATATATTATTCATTTCCATTCTCTATATTTTTGAATGTTTTTTCGTAAAAAATTAAAAAATTATTTCGAAACGCTTCAATCCTTTTTCAAGTCATATTTTAGCAAAAAAGTCACTAAAAATATACTTCCCCAACAAATCATATAATTTTTATCTACTGACATTTATCACATTATTAAAGTGAATTATGTTTTAAATTATAAAGTTTCTTTATTATATAATATATCAGTTAAGCTTATCACATTTATGAAAGTGAATCTTGCTTCACATTGTAATTTTTTTATGTCACGATACATCAATTAGTGCAAAAATAAAATAAAATAGAATAGAATTCGAAATTTATTAAATGTCTAGTAATTTTCCTAAATGAATTCTCTATATGGCATGTGTATGTACTTTTTCAATGTGGAAAAACAATCATTGACTAGTTGAGGAACAGTGCTTTAATGAACGTAAACTCTTGACACTCAAGTCATTGATTTGAGTTTTGAAATCTCTTTTCCTATTTGTTTCCCTTTTCCTAACCAATAATAATTCTTTTCACACTCACCTTCTGCTCATATGCAACTTTTTATTTTTTTC